GCCAGACAAGTAGGCTGGTTTCAGAGAGCCCCTGAGGGTCCCAAGGCCAGTGGCCCAGCCCCCTCAGGAGACGGGGACCCTTGGAGGCAGCACTTCCCGACTTTCTGCTGTCTCGGTGGCCCTGTTACACCTCTTCACTTTGCAGCCTTTGATTCAGCAAAATCAAGGATGCAAACTTCTTAGGAGTACTTAGTTTCCATGGCAACTGAAGCTGACCTCAACATTATTGTTCTCAAGAGGGGACTGACTTTGCTATATGTTCATTCACTGAATTAATGGACTCCCGGTTCTTTTATCAGCAACCCCAGAACAATGGAAAGAGAGACATGTCCTCAAAGGGCTTTCAACCACTGTCCAGCCTTTTGTCCCCGGCTTACTGCAACGAGGCAAGTCTATTCAGCCCGAGATTATCAAAATCAACTCGGGGCTGTCTCCGGGGCAGCTAAACACACTTTAGTTTCATAAAGACATAACTGATCCCACATGCAAATTAATAATTTCAATCCCAGCCTTTGTTGTGTTAGCAGTGATTTTTTGTTGTTGGTTTTTTTGGTTTTTGGTTTTAGGGTTTTTGTTTTTGTTTTTGTTTTTTAATAAAGAGTCTGTAGGGAAAATGCAGTACAGTTATGTACTTTGATGGGCTCTGACTGTGGCCAGCTGTCTGGTAAGGGCTGGAGAGGAAGAGGTTCCTAAGCTCACCTCAGTGACACAGCCCTCAGCCAAGCTATGGGTGGTGGTGGAGAGCCTTCCGGTTCCAATAAATCCCAGCCAGATCCTGACCTGCGGGTCAGTGCCTCGTTGCACAGCACCAGTGTGTGTCTGCCCACTGCCTCACCCTCCAGCTACACAGGAACAATATAAACCAATCCCTGGCCGCACAGCTCTTGTGAAGAACCGTCTGCAGAGGCAAACAGCTCGTTCGGTTGTGGCCAGGTTTAGATCTCAGGGTGTGTGACATCCAAATAATTGCTTCACAAAAGCCACTTGGTAGTTGCCTAGTTGCCTCGGGTCTCACTTCCTCAGCAGGCTGAGTTCACACTCCTGGCTCCAGTCATCCTTCACAAGTCCTGAGGCCTCTGGGCTTCCGGTCACCAGGGGCAGCTCATCCAGGACCATACGATGGGAAAAAGGTCCCCAAGCCAGTGGGAAAGACTATGCTTCTAACACCCAAATAATCATTTCACAGATTTTCATAATCATCAGTCAATCATCCTGTTTGGACCACTTGAGAGCTATCAGGTGGCTTTTATGACCTGTAGCATTTTGTACGAAATAATAACTGGAAGAGATTTATGGACCCATCGCTGACCCTCTCTATTAATTCTTTACCCTTTCTGTGCCTCCCGCCATGGCCCAGGAGTGCTGGCTGGGCCCTTCCAGACAGGAACCTTTCCAGGCCCTGAGTCCCAGTTATAATGGTACAAATCCCCGATTTCTTTATTTGGGGGCGGAGAGGGAGCAGAGAAAGGGAGGAAAGGCGGAAATAAAAATACCAGAGAAAAAGGTCACTTCCTTTCATTTGTGTTTTCTCCCAGTTGCCCTGTATTAACACCTCCTTCCTTTGCAAGATGCAGAAAGAAAACAAGATAAAGTGGGACAAAGGGAAAGGCCGTGGGGCCCTGTGTTTCCCTTTTCATATCACTGAAGAGATTGAATCAAAATTCCTTCGCCCGATACCATCTCCCCGGGTGGACTACACTCTTGTTAACAGATAAATTCAAGCCCTCCAGAAAGTCAAAGAATAAATTTAAGCCTTTGCCAAATGTCTATCCTATTGGATTTTGATAAGGCGGCCATTGAGCCTTAATAATGTCTTCCATTCATTTTCTGCGAGCCCTTAACACGGCTCTTTATTCCTCCCCAAAGCCTCTTCTCCCGGCCTTTTTATTACGGGCTCCGACGTGCTCTCCAGGGAGCCGCGCAGCCGAGTGATGGATGGACAGCTCGCTAGATTATCTCCCGCAGATGTTTGCTCTCCAGGAGCCCCGGGCTTCCCTCTAAGTAAACAGACTAAATAGAGTCGCCAGCAGAGGGGCAGCCCCAGAGGTCCTGGGTTCCACTGTGGGAAGAAGCTTGACTGGGTCTGACCACAGCTGAAGTGACTTCTGGGGAAGCTCAAGTGATGTGCCCCGAGGGCATGAAGGACAGGGGCAGAGATGGCACCAGGATTTAGGTGTTTGAGGTTTGGAACACAGGCACAGAAGCTGGGGGCATGTGGCCACAAGAGATGGAAATGTTAGGGACAACGGAGTCCAGAGGGATGCTGGGAGTTAAGAGACAGAGGGGTGAATGGGGTGAGCAGGAGACTAGGTCCAGTGAGGGACAAAGGGGAGCAGATTGGGGGGACTGACTGAGCCAGTGGTGGCTTTGCTCAGTGCAGGTCTGCACAGTCTTGAATGTGACTCTTGACACAGCTGTCCCATGTGTAGCCATGCTTGCCTGGCTCCTACTATGAATTCTGAATACATTCAGAAGAACGCGCTATCTCTGTAGTAACCGTTCTCCAAGACTTAATACTTAGAATAGCAACCTCCCTCCATGTCTCCTTCCTGCATCAGTGTCAAGGGCCAAAAGAACTAAATCAAGTCTGCTACATTTCACAGAAGCAGATGGAGGGCAGGAAATACATGAAGCTCAGAGATGATGGCAATTCAACAACCCAAGGCCATCCACACGCCCCTTTGCCCCATACTTCCCTATCATATTTTTAATACAAGTGTGCATGTCGTTGTGTAATCCAAACGTACACAGGTGTGTGTGGCATTGCCTCAGGAAAAGAGAAAAAAAAAGGCACCAGTATATACTAACCATAGCATCAAGTGACACATTTGTTAATGAGACAGAAACTTCCACCTAGACAGAAGTTCCAAGTCATATGTGTCCCCTATTGCCCCTAGGCCCTGGCATGAGACCCCCTTTGCTGCTGACTTATAATTCCCACCTTCAGTTCAGTCCCCTCCACCTTTCATTACTCAGGTCCAGACCTAAGACAAGGTTTTAATTCTTGTTCAGTGATCCTGGAGAAGCAGGGATGTCTGAACTCAGCCAAAGCTGGAAAACTTCTGTTCAGCAGCGCCTGGGGTACGCTGCAGCAGCTCCTCAGCCTCATGAGAAGCACCATAGAGCTTGGACAAGAGTCTCTAACTTCCTCCAATAGGGCAGAAGAAGGAAACAGGCTGGGATGGCCGTCGAGAAGCCTGCTGGGACACAGACAGCCACCCGTGTCCCCTTCAGGCTTCCAAGATGCTCCAGCCTATATGGAGGTTGGTCTGTTGGGGCCCCTGGTTCTCTGAGCCCCTCAGCCTGGCTGCAGCTTCAGGGGTGTCACAGGGATCTGCAATCGAGACAGCTCTGACCCCCAAGCATCTTCAAGTGAGTCTCTGGTTGTGGTGTACTTTACAACCGCCCCACAAGCAGCTCTCAGGATGTTCTGGGGCCAGGTTAGACACAACCTCTCAGAACCATACTTTATAAGGAAAAATAAAAGTACAAATCACAAACAGCATCCCCACCTCCCACCCCAGAGCAAGAGGAGAGTAGCCAGGCTCATTCCTGTCATCTGTGATTTTGTTTCCATTCAAAAGCATCCAGCACTTTCCTTTTCATGGCCCTTTACATTTGAACTTGACCTTTTGATCTCCTGCCTTAACCATTATACCCCAGCTGGGCAGCACACCCAAAGACACAGAGACAACAAGGTGGTCTCTGTGAGTACCACTCTGCCCAGCTCTGTTTGTGACACAGAATGGACTGTGCTTCTCTTTTCCACAGTATTTGAGACACAGAATTTTGCTCCAGCCCCCACCCTTTCCTTTCAAAAAACATAAATTTATCCAGAGAATAAAAGGAGGGAGAGAATCTGATCCATGGTACCCTTAAAAGGTAGAAGGATGGAGAAAGGAAAGGCCACTGTCACAGCTTCATCACCAAAATGCTGACTGAGGTTTGCCCGGGAGAAGGACAGGTGCCAGCCCTTGCAGAGAGCTCTGCCCATGTGTCTAGCTTAGTGTACATCAGGTCAGGCTTGTCTGCTCACTGGGGTAGCAGGACCCCTCAAGTGCACATTCCGGGTGAACAACACTGAGTGGACTGTGTGGTGCTGATGCAGCCTCCCCAGCAGCCTGAGCCGAGACCCCACCACCACTTCCAGGTAGCAATGTGTGAATGGATCTCCATGCCCACTTTTGTCCCTGGGCAAAGACGCCCAGTGAGGTGTTGCTTTAATTTTATGGGAAGATAGTGAACACAAAGACGCTTGTGTGACCATGTGCATTTTCCTGTGCACGCATGCGTTGTGAGCAACACCCGGTGACTGAGCTCAAGGAAAGCTCTGGAGCTCACTGGAGACCGTCTTCTCACCACTATGTAGATTGCAGTGTGAACACTTAGGTGTGTTCGCACCGCTGTGTGTGTGTGTGTCTCCTTGGGCCATGTGTATTTTCCCCTCCACATAGCTCTCTTGCCGTCTCTGGGTCTTTCAGAGCTGTGTTTGTTGACCAGCTATGATCCATCATCAGCCAGAAAGGGGGTAGACAATGCCCAGTTGAAGCTTTTCTTTTGCTTAATGCTTTGCTTACTTAAAGCGACGCTTGAGCCCTCTTTGGGAGTTAAGAGTGCAGCGAAAGGATCTGTTGAATCTGCAGCCCGTTGCGGGGGCCCCCCAATATTCTTTTCATGTGAGCATTCAGTGAAGACAGTTAAATAAACACAACCTGTCTTTATTTAGTTTCCATGTGTCTGTATGGCCTGCAGCATTCCCACGGGCCCAGGGTTGTCCTCTGTTCTCAAGAGCTGGGGTGGCTTAGTGAAGTGACCCCCTCCCACCACTTACACAGTGAAAATGAGTGTCTCCCCTAATGGCACATTTATAACTGTGTGCAGATAATGCTCTAATCACAGACTGCTTCTTTGCTCTGTAGCTCAGGAACAACCACATAGCTGTCCCACCAGGGTCTATGTGAAAGGGTACTGGGACTAAGGCAGGAATGACATTTGCCTACCTTTTTGATGCAGCTCTCCTGGGATGACACCTCTGTATCCGTCAGCATCTGCTGCAAAGCAAATTGGAAAGGGCTGTTAGTGGCTGACAGGTATCACCTTCGAGCTGCAGAGGGCTGTGAACCATGGGCAGATCAACACCTTGCCAGTGTAGAGGCAAGATCTCATGGCTTCCCTGAGAAATGAAGGGAAACTCTTTGTTGGGGACTCTTTTAGTTTTGCGTGTGTGTGTGTGTGTGTGTGTGTGTGTGTGTGTGTGTGTGTGTGTGTGTGTGTGTGTACATGTACGTGTGATAAAATATCCTGACCAAAAGCAACACTCAGGAGGAAAGGTTTAACTTGGTCTACAATTCTAGGTTACAATCTATTGTTTTGGAAAAGTCAAAGCCAAAACTCATATAGCTAGTCATACCATATCCACAGTCAAGAGCAAAGTGAATATGCATGTCCTTGATCATGTGCTTAGTACCCTTATTCTAACAGAAGACCCCCATTTGCTGGGGACTAAAAACACCCCTGAGAGGTGTTTCCTCCCTGCAAATGTCGTAGTTGGTTCTTTACAATTCCACTTCAGAGATGGTGCTGCTCTGCTGAGAACCCATGGCCCATTAGTAATAGGGTGAAGGCTGACACATCTTAAGACAGGCCGCCTTTGGTTGCCACCAGCAGGGAGTCCAGACCCTGAAAGTGACGCAGACTTGGAGCTCTGTCAGAAAACTCAGCAGAGCATATGTAAAAGACGGCTCTGCTCCAGGCGCAGGCATGGTCCTGTCCTGGGGATTCCAGTTTGGCTTGGTAGGCAGAGCTCAAGGAAGCCATGAGTTCAAGCTCTGTTCTAGGAGACAGCAGATGTGGGGGGAGCAAGCATGGGGCTCCTTATGTTAAGTCTGAGATGGTAGCATGTCACCTGCTCTTATTAATGTGACATGCCTTGGTAAGGAAGATGGCTCTTTGTAGCCTATGGGGGCCCTTCTTCAGCTTTGGTGCTGGATATCATGAAGGTGCCTGGTGGACCATAGTAGACCCTCACCCCTCTATCTTCCAGATACATCTGGCAGCAGAAGAGGGAAAGCACCACCCTTGGCTCCTCTTGTCCCAAAACCTCTCATACAACTTTCCTTGGCTCCGATCTGTACAGCTGTGGCATTTTACCCCACGTCTCCTCTCAGAAAACCACCAACCCTGCCTAGAGGGTTGGCACTTAAGTGCCCAGACACAGAGTGCTAAAGCTAAGCAAACTGACAAATGAGCACTAGAAACTGGACTTTCCCCTTCTGGACTGGAAGTCCAGCTCACAGACTCATGTTCGTCAATTATAATGTCATTTCCAAAAGAACAGGAACCAAGATGGAAAATCACACTTGAAAAATAAAATGAGGAGTGATGTCAAGCCCAAGGGCTTTCTCTCCCTCCCCTTCATGCTACCCTGAGGTGCCCATATGTGCCCGCACAGACCAGCAAGGGAATGTGGTACACCAAACAGGCTCTGCCTGGCTCAGCTGTAATAACAAGAGGCCATATTCTAAATGTTGGGAATTCTAACCAATTGGGAATTTTATGTTTCTTTTAATAAATTCTGAAAGTGTGGTTTGGAAAGTGGCTCTAAGTGAAAAGTGAGAGTGAGGCAAGGCTAGGTGAATGCCATGCAGGATTCATGCCAGCCTTGAGGAGACACCACCAGTGACCCAATGACGTGCTATGCTCAGCCTGGCTAGATTCTGCCGCATGACCAGCTGCAGAAGCCAGCCAGAGCTGAGCTGTGGACAGCTGTGCTTCTGTCTGTCCGCCCCCCCAAATATGGCTTCTCTTCTCACTCAAAGCAGGGCCAGGGAGGGTGGAGGGGATCCTGAGAGAGTGAGATTGACCACCTAACCCCTAGAAATGCCTAGAAGTCTGCACTCATGCTGGAGGCAAAGATCACCCAAGGAGGTAGGTCTCTTCCTGACACATGGGCATTCTATCCAAATCTGTCCCCTAGATGCTGTTCCCAGTGGGGACAGAGATCTCTTGGTTAAATATGTGCAGCGTAGTGGATCTGTGCTGCTGTCCACCCATGGTAGGATAAGGAACCAGTCCTGTGGGCCATTAGCTCTCTTGTCTTTTAATGGTCTGGCTTCAGCCAGGAGACAATTGGTATTTTCATTTTTTCCCCAGGAAAGTAATGCTTGCACTACACAGAGAAGACTAGACACAGCCAGGGCGTGAGGAGTCATCAGAAGGATGCTCCTTATAGAGACCAACTGTATCCTATATGCTTAACAGAGCAGACACTGCTCTGAACCTAGTGCATGTCTCCAAACTCCATCACTTTAGTGCAACCCAGCAGTGAGGAATTCTGAGCTGCTTGACCTAGATGGATACTCTACTTGGTCACCACATCCCTATTAGGATCCTTTCCTAGGGTCCCAGGCTTCAGGGACACATGGACACACACACACACACACACACACACACACACACACACACACACACACACACGGCTGAAAAGTCCCTGAGTATGTGCTGTGTGTGCTGAGCCTGTCAACAGACAGGTCACAGGAGACCATGTGATGTTTTAGGACCAGTCTAAGGAGCTTGTTTGGTGGCATTCCACAGTCACCTTGTACTAACACACTAACGTCAACACAGTGCTAGACACCGGAGAGAGGGCTGGGCACAGGCGGGGTATGAGGGTTTTCTGGCTGCTCTCCTGCTGCACAAGAGAGGCTGTCCTGGAAAGGGCGCCCACCCCAGCCCTGGGAATCCAAGCGTTCCTGTCACAGCTAAGCCTCCTGATGTGAAAGCTACAACTAGTGTCACTAGGAAATGTGGGGCCGAGGCAGGAACTGTGCCCTTGCATACCTGCCTGGTCTGCTGTGTGCTCAGTCAAGCTTCAGATGCCTGCAAGGGCATCAGCAGCCAACAGAGGTCCCTGGGAAGGGCTTATCACCTGTTCGTGCTCACTTTCACCGTTCTGGAGTATGTGGCTGCCTCTGAGGGAATTTTTTTTTTTTTTTTAAAGAAATTCCTTCCTCCTGGCAGGAAAAAGGTTGGCATCTTCCAGCCAACTCAAGCTAATGCCCACAGCTCTGTGTTCTTAAGCACAGATGATCGGCACTTTGGAGAGGGGATAACAATACCCCCAACAGAGTTGTTCAGGGAACTCCCCCCAACGCTGCATCTCTAGACTGCAGAGTCTCCAATTAGAGCCCTTGGGATATCAACAGGGGCCACCCTGGATCTGTGGGACCTCAGATCCATGGCTTCTGGAGTGGACAGTTCTCTACTGTCCTCGCACCCTTTCTGGATACCTCCTATTGCAGCGTGTGTCTCCTCTGATTTGGGTGGCTCGGACTGTGCCCTCTTCACGTCTTTCCAAAGCCCTAGGTCACAGAAAAGTAGCAGTACTGATGACTGCATTTACAAGGCATTGATCACCTGGGCCACCTTGCTTGCATTTGGGAGAACCACATAGGAATGGCTGAATGGCTTCTCCCCTCCCCCCCCCCCCCCCCCCCCCCCCGTCACTTGGTTGCAGGGGACTAGAAGCCTCTCTGTGATAGAAATGTCTCAAGTCAGTCAGAAGGCCACAGATGGAGTTTCTTCTCTGAAGACCATATTCTGAAAGCATGTCTCACTCTTCAGAACATGAATCGCCACCAGTGGAATGGAACCAGACCCCACTGAGAGAACATGGGGATAGATTGGTGGCGTGAAGTCTCAGCTTACAGAAAAGACAGCTGGGACTGCCGGTTCTGGGTTCCAGAAACCATAGTGGCCTTTCTATCAGGGGGCTGCAGATGCTGCAGAGGCCACCAGTGTCTCCAAAATATGGTGTCCCAGGCAGGGCTCCCGTCACCCACACCAGCTTATGCCCCACACCTTAGTCAGAAACCAGCAGTAATGTTCTGGGGAGCTGAACCTGCTTCCCATTCATAGGAGTAACTGGTATGTACAGCACTAGCAAGACAGCCTGTGTGTGGCCACACAGACTTCTCCCAACCTGCCTGTCATTCTTTAACTCAGTGGGAGGGAAACTGTGTCCCATAGACCTGTGGATGAGTTTGGTCCCAAGGAGGACCCTCATCAGAAGCTAAGAAGTAGCCAGGTGGGGTAAGTGCCCAGTTAACCCATCTGCTATGTCAATATGGGCCCTTTCATTCCCAGAAGGGTCGGCACAGCCATGGTGGTGTGACTACCTATCCTGGAGTTTGCTATCAGATGGGGACACACAGAGAGATATCAACAACCTCATCCACAACTCTTCAAGAGTCACCAAGTGAGAGGGAACAACCAGAGCCTTGTGCTTTCTAGGCCATGGGACCTGGCCGGCCTTGGGGACAGGAGCTGGGGCTCTGTTCCTTGGTCCTCTTCACACACACTTTGAGCAAATGCTCACTGGGCTGTGGGGGCTGCAAACTTGCACTGAGAAACTGTGAGCTGCCGAGGACCAGGAAAGTGCCTCGTGACAGGCTTCCTTAGTCACTAGTGCTGGATGAGGGCGCATCACGCCCTCAGAGGAAGCTGGCACCTCATGAGTTTCCAGAGCCCTCCTGCAAGGGGAGGTTTGAGCTGGGTTCCGATTTAATAGCAGCCTTGCCAGGTAGAAACATCTTTAATGAGGCCCTCCTCACCCGCTGCTGACCTTGGGTGGAGAAACCGCCGGACACACTCCGGAGCCTCTCAGCCTTGGCTTCCTTGCTGGCTGGGCTGCCGTTTACTGAAAACCCTCTTTATGTTGTTAGCTCAGCCCCAGCACACGCACTGCTGACTGCTGGCAGTGGCTGCCCCAGGCTCTCAACTTCTCCCCCGCACCCCAGCAGAAGTATTAGGTGTGTTTTGATTGAACATTTTAGCCAAAAAAGCGAGGTTTGACCTCCGGCATTTAGCTTCTCTCTCGAGTATCGGTGCCAGGATTTAGCTAAGTGGGGTTGCTCAAAACATCTTTTTTGACTCTTAAAATAAATACCCTCTGTTCTCCAAGAGGTCGGTGAAGAGTAGACACACACATACAGACATCTCATAGGCTCACAGCTCCAAAACTCTGGCATGTCCCCCAAGGGGGCCGACTTTC